GTTGCTCTAGTCCACTTGAAGTCAACTTGGACGGGGATGTGATCAGGTGATTTGGCGCACAAGTCGATGTCATATCTATTCCTGACTGCAACCGCTGAGTGCATATACGCACTGGGGCCCAGGACATAATCTATTCGGTGCTTTGCGCCATTCTTGCCAACGAATGTATATCCAACGGAATGCTCGATTTTGGTGTTAATGGCGTGTAGGTGCGACTGTGCGAGAAACAAATGGAAGTGCTCGCCCGTCTCATCCTGTTGCTGTCGAAAGCCAGCATCACCAGCCCACTCGGAGCAAGTGTCACCCAGCCTGGCGTTCGCATCAACAAAGGTCAAATCGACCTGCCACTTCTCACAGAGTGTGGCGGTCTCCTCCCAGAAAGCCTGAACTTTAGCAGCCTTGTGTCCGACGTGCGGCGCATGCAAAACAGCAACGCGCGCAGAAAGCGCAGGCGAATTGATGGCAACAATTAGCCTACGCGGGTCGCAATGCAGTGCATCTGCGTCCTGCCGTCTAAGGGTTATCTGCTTACCCTTGGCGCTCGAGAGAGGCACTTCTAGGTTGATCCAGAGCTCACGTCCGAGTCCCCCCGAGACAGCACCAGACGAAATGATCAGAAACGGTCCCGACATCCTCAGTCCCTGCGGATTGCGGGCCTCCTGCACCCCAATGAGATGGAGCTGCTCTTTAGCATTTTTTTTTTTTTTAAAAAAAAAAAAAAATCTGCGTGCGCATGAGTCGCCTCTTTCCCCTGGTTCCTTTTGAAGCCCGACAATACATAGACTTAGCATTGGACTGCATGGCCCGAAGTTCAACTTGATACCGAACCTGGGTGAGCTCAGGCTGTTTGGGGCAATCCTCACTGCTCGCAAGCTGGGGGGTGCTGAGATAAGACAGCTGTCCCAAGTCGAGACATGGCATACCAAGGCAAGAGTGATCAAATGGCTGCCGTGCCCACTCCCACTCTCTCCCTTCATGATACGTGGCCATGGACAATAGCCGAGAGCTGAGCATCATGGAGGGCACTCTATTCCTGGCCACGTCTTTGGCAACATTGCCTGCAAGTATATTCCAATGGTGCATGCAATGACTCTTGATGTGATGAATCGACAGAGGCCCTTTCGCAGAGGCAATCCTGTATGCTATGGCTGCCAGGCGTGGCAGCTTGTCCTGACTTGCAGGGGCGGCCTCCCCTGTGACAAAATCTATAGCTGACTGTGAATCTGACCATATCTCTGCTGCCTGGTCGGGCCGCCTGCTGGTGTCACATATTATGGCGATGCAAGTCCATAAAATCCCTAGGACCTCAACGTCAGTGCTATCGATGTTCGACCTCCGAGGGTCCACACAACAACTATCGCCCCATTTGGCGGCCCAGAACCCAGCAAAGCCAACTTCCCCTTGGCTGTCGCTGTGCACGCGTATTATCGCCCACGCTGCTGCAAAACTATCTTCACTACCCATGCCTCGGAAGTGGGATCCGTCAACAAAATAGGAAATGCCCTGAACTTGATGTCTATTCAGAGCAGGGCAAATTCGAAGTGCGATCCTGGCTGGGGCCTCCAAGTCCTGGGTGCAAACTCTCATGTTCCAGGGCGGAGTGCGCGCGCCCTGGGCAAGCTCCCACATGGTTGGCGCAAACGGAAGGTCCACAGTCCTGTTATGCAAGTCCGCTCCCTCAGGTGAGGGCGTCAGGCTAGTGGCGTTGGCTCCACTGTCGCTCGATCCGTCGCACCCCGTGTGGGACAGGAGAGGCGTCGGTACGGCTGTACCAATTGGGGCTGTCTTCGCTGTAAACTCTTCCGTGGGCACTGTCCCACTAGACAAGAACGCAGCAGACGATGATGGCGGACTTTTTTCCGACCACGGCGACGATTCGCCACCGAAGGAGCCACTGAACAGTAAAGAATGTGAGTGGCTCTTTGCACCAGCAATGTCGTCGCTGGTGCTGTCTGCTGCAAGGAGAGGCGAATTCGAAGTTGATTTCGTGAAATCATCCGAGAGCACAGTGCGACTGCAAGGCGAGCCGTAAGTCTGTCCCCTGTTTATTCCCCCAGGGTCAGAGACAAAAACGCTCGACTCGCTGCCAAAATGGCTGTTGCTGAGGCTGCTGGAGTCTAATTGATCGAGCAGGTTGCGTCTGGTATTATCCAATGAACTGCTCAACTGCTGGCTGGGCTCACTCACAACTCCTTCGAGTTTGTCAACATTGTTGTTGCTGTTGCTGCTTCCCTGGCTGCAGTCCTCAGCTGGTATTGTGATCAGACTTCTTCCCTGCCTGACCAAGGTTGACTCGCTCTTCAGAATTGATGGTGTAGATCTTCCGGAAAATACTGCGACTGGTACTGGCGGTTCATCCTCTGGGAAAAACTCTCTTACTGCGGTGGCACCCCAGCGTGGTCCCCGCGTGGGACCTTCTGAGGAGGCGACTTGATTGGCGCGCCTTCCTGATGGCCCGCACAGGCCAAGTCGATCTCCGCCACTGCCCTCTTCATCTCCTGGGTCGTCAGGACTGGGGACGCCTCCACCACTACTTGACTCGTGACGCTTGCTTGAGGTCCAGGAATGGTCTCCGCCTGCGTGTTGGGCATGGGCTGGGTCGGTGAGATCGGCGGGCAATATGATACTGGCGTTGGACTGGGTTCGAACAGCTCCCTCTGAAACTCCTGCGCACTCATGCCATTGTCGTCTGCGATCGGTGTCTGGCATCCTCCAATCGGCGTCTTGCCAACTGGCGTGGTGGGGCACGGCGACGGCTGCGCGGCGGGAACAGTGTTCGGTGTGTGGGGGCTGCTCCCTTCCCCCTTCTGAAAAGGCGGCGTGCCTCCCGATCCAGATGTCGATCCAGGGGCGGCTCCATGATCTCCCGAAGCTGTCGTGGCCCCCGATGCAGAAGTACCTGGGCTCCTGCCAACTGGGATCTGGTAGGCGTCCGCTGACACCTGCTGAGGCGCCATCTGCTGAAACCCCATGGGCAACTGGTGATGGAGATGCTGCTGCTGCGCGTGCTGTGCCTGAAGTGCATGAATCACTTCTCCCAGCACCTTCTCCGATTCGTTCTGTCTGTTGGCCATGCCAATGAGCAAGCCCCTGAGCTCGGTGAGCGGGTCCTGGGCCATGTAGGCCTGCTGATGTTGCCCCTCCTGCGCCATTGGGGGCTGCGCCCGCGCAGCCAGCGGCGGCGCGGCTGGCGGCGGCGCCTGTGGCACGGGCCTCGGCGGCGCCTGAGGCCCGCGGGGCCCTGCAGCCTGCTGCGAGGGCTGCTGGCCCCCCATGGCCTGGCCAAGGCCAACCCCCGGCGCACAGGGCTGCTGCTGCGGCTGCGGCGGTCCATGCCACTGGGCGGGCGCGGGTGCGCAGCCTGGCGCTGGAGGCATGGGCTGCCCTGGTGGTGCCCCGACCGCTGGTGGCGGCGGCGGTGGGCTGATGTGCATCTGCTGGGCCTGCATGGCCGTGTCGTCCTCGCTGGTGAGCTCCTCGAGCTCTTGGATGCAGGTCCTGAGCTGAGCTATGTCATTGGTGTTCTCGGTCTCCTGGGCCTCCAGGTCTTTGATCCTTGACTGCGTGCTGCGCAGGCGCTCGATGGCTCGGTCGAGACGGTCTTTGTACTCCCCTATTTGCTGCCTTAGTGGCATTGTGTCTTGCATCATGCACTTGTGGATCGCAATCTTCCTGTCGTGGATCTCTGCGAGCTGGATTTCTCTGGCACGCCTTGCTGTCATGGCCAGGTAGGCGAGGTCGTGGAGCTGCCTCTTGGTCTCCATGCGGAAAGCATGCTGGTCGCCCTCTGGCGGCTGCTTGTATGACTGATCGGCGGCAGCTTGTTCCTTTGTCATAGGGGGTACCCTCGCCAAGTACAACTTCACTTCTTTTTCTGTGAAAGTCGGTGCCTGATGTCTCTGACGACTGGGCTGCCTCTGCTGGTGTCGCGGCGGTCGGCCGTCCTGCCGAGAGGGCCCCTGCTGCGGTGTGAATTGATTGCCACAGAAACACTGACGATGTCCTCTGACGTAGCGCCCGCAACGTCCACAATCCCATGTTGGAATGTTCCATGTCATCACACTGTCTCTGTCCCGCGGCGAGGATTGATTCTGAGCAGTGTGATGGGACTGCAACAAGATATATGCCTGATGCAATCTGACGAGCGTCCTGGCTCTTGATCGTATGGCTCTTGCACGCCTATGCCAAGCACCTTCCACTGGCCTCGCCGTGGCCAGCCTAGGAGGGAGCTGCTATCGCGCGCGGCAAGAAGTCGCGGCTCGCGGGAGCGAGCACGACGGGGCTCGGCCGAGCAAAATCCCTGCGCTCAGGCCAAACCCTCTCCTCCTCCTCCTCCTCCTCCTCCTCCTCCTCCTCCTCCTCCTCCTCCTCCTCCTCCTCCTCCTCATCATCATCATCATCATCATCATCATCATCATCATCATCCCTCCTCTCCCTCCTCCTCCTCCTCCCTCCTTCTCCTCCTTCCCCCCCTCCTCCTCCTTCGCCTCCTTCTCCTCCTCTTTATCCTCCTCCTCCTCACCTCCCTCCTCCTCCGCCCCATCGGCCGTGCGCAGGCCGCTTGTCGCGCACATTAAAACTGGAGCGACACGCCGCCATGCGACAGCGGTCGTAGCAGATCCTGGATGGGAGAACCGATGTGCGGTTCAAACGCCAATGCTCAACCTCCCCCCCAAAAGCCGATGCATCGTCCTCCACCCTCCTCCTCCTCCTCCTCCTCCACCTCCGCCCGGCTCCTTCTCCTTCTCCTTCTGGCCTTCAGCCTCGCCATTCCTCCCTTTTCCTCCTCTCCCTCATCCTCCTCCTTCTTCCCTCCCTCTCTCCCTTCCTCCTCTTTCTCTCGCCTCCTGTCACCATCTGCCCCTCGCTCCTCGTTCATAGCCGCTTTTCCTTCTCCTCCTCCCTCCTCCTCCCCTTCGCTCCTCCTCCACCTCCTTCTCCTCCTCCTTCTCCTCCTCCGCTCATCCCTCCTCCTCCCCTTGCTCGCTGGGCGGGGGCACGTAGGTGTGGTGGGCCCTGACGAACTCGTCGTCCTGCGCGCGGGCTGGCGGACGACGGTTTGATTAAGCATCGGCCGGGAGAAAGTGCGAAGGCGATGAACGGACTGTGTTTCCATTAGACGAAGCCAAGGCGCGGATACGTTTACTTTAGAACACCTCCCCGCAATAAGGGGTCACTATGTTTCGGCGGCCTTGTTGAAGGCCTGAGGCCCCACCAACAAGGAGTAGCTGAGTAATTGTTCCGCGGCACCCGCCGCGCAACAACCACGACGGCAGCTACGACCACGATTGCGACTACGAAACTGTAGATCTAAACTGTAGATGTACTGGCCTGCAATGTAATTTTCCAGCAGACAAGGAGATATGAAATAACTGACTGTGACAACGGGCCTCGGCGACGAATGCGCCGATCTATATTGCAATCCTTTTACAAACGTGCTCAAAATTACTCTGTCGCGCAGGGCAGCCCAGGGATCCTTACTCGCGAAAAACAGCCCCTCCGACTTTCTCCAGTGCGGCAAGGACCAGTGGGAAACTGATGGGCGGGCCACGTCGCGGGCGCCGACGCTTGATACGTGCATGTCGATTGTAAGCATGTGCTAGCGCGTGGTGCAGTCCTCCCACAAGCACGACGGGTCGAACGAGGATATGGCGAGCAACGCCCTCGGCGAAGTGTGTGTCCATGTATAGTGCCATCCTCCCACAGACGTGCTCAGAGTCCCTCCGTCGTGCAGGGTAGCCCCGAGAGCATCACTGACAGGGAGACAGGAACCTTCGACATCATCCAGCCCGCCCAGCAATAGAGGGAAACGAATCTAATGTCGGGCCTGTCCCCCTACTGGGGGGTGTTCGACGAAAAATGAAAAATACCCCAAACATACCCCACAAAGGTCAACAAAAATTCAAACAATAGTCCCCAGACTATTGTTGGACTATCGTTTGACTATGGTTGGGATATTTCTTTATTTTTCGTCGAAAATCCCCCTGCAGGGGGACAGGCCCGGCTGAAAACTGATCAGGAACCCGAGGCGCGGGCACCGCCGACGACGATGCAGAGGCAGCGTGGCATGTATGGGCGTAGATTGTAATCGCTCCGCTCCACTCTCCCTCGTCCTCGGCCCCCTCCCCCCCTTGTCCCTCCTTCCTCCTTCCTCCCTTCTCCTTCCTCCTCCTCCCCCTCGCCTATTAGCTTCCTGTTTCATGTTCCTATGCCCCTTTCCCCGCCTCCCGCTTCCTGCTCCTCCTCCTTCTCCTGCTCCTTCTCCTCCTCTCCTTCCTCCTCCTCTTCCTCCTCCTCCTCCTCCTCCTCCACCCCGCCCCCCAGCGAATGAGCAGGAACGAGGAAGGGCGGCCAAGGAGGCCCGATGCTCCCCCATCCTCATCGATTACCCTTTCCCACATCCCTGCCCTCGGATGCTTCCATTGTGTTGGCTGCGAAGGAAGGAGCGGAGGACGAATGGGAGGATCAAGAGGATGAGGAGGAGGAGGAGGAGGAGGAGGAGGAGGAGGAGGAGGAGGAGGAGGAGGAGAGGGAGAAGGAGGGTGAGGAGGAGAAGCAGGGGGAGGATGAGGAGGATAAGGAGGAGGAAGAAGAGGAGGAAGAGGAGGGCAGGAGGAAGAGGAGGCGGAGGAGGAGGAGGAGGATCGACGAAGAAGGGGGCGGCGACAGCGGGGGAACCAGATCAGGAGGAGCATCATTATCCTTATCCTCCTCTTCCTTCTCCTCTTCCTCTTCCTCCCCCCCAATCCCTCCTCCTCCGCGCACTCTTGCCCCCGAACTCCATGTCGTTCTCGCCCCCCTCTCCTCGACCATCATCGACCCACCTCAATATTTTTCTCGTTTGCAGATCGAGGGATACCCAAGACATGGATGATCAAAGAAAGGGAGATTGCGAAACAGGAAGAGGAGACCTAAGACATCTTTAAGGATGGGGAGGTCATCAACGAAATACCGGAGACTGTGCGACTGCGAAAAATACAGAATCTAATAGTTGGCCGACCGTACGCCACGTCCTCCAAATCGGAGGCACTGCAGAAGATAATAGGCCACCTGCTGACACCAGGGGGTCCCTGTACCCGGTCTTCTGTCAGGCGGCTGTGAAGAACGTGTTCCACTCCACGTATAGCCTTCGGCCATACCTCGGGATAGGATGCCGAATCCTTCGACGGGGATTTGAGAACCCCCCCCGCTCTGATCGAGCTGTTTTTGGGCCCCGCTGCCGAGGCATACCACCTCGGGCGCGGCACCGAAACTCGTGACATGCTCGTTGCGTCGCGCCTTTGGGTGCGATCTGGTTCACCGCCCCGTTGAGAGGCCGACCTCGGATGTTGGCTCTGCCGGCCCGTCCGCTGCGGGGGGCGCGTCCGCCCACCTGCTACCCCACGGCAGCGGGAGTCAGCAGCCCTCTACACACGCAAAACGGTCAACCGCATCACTTGGGCGTGGCTTCATGGGGGGGTCACAAATAAGGGGGTCAGAAACGGTCCCCTTTCGTGCCCCTTTCGGGCCCCTCCGGAGCCCCAGGGGGCTCGTTTAGGTACCATTTGGGTACCTTTTCGGACCACCCTCGCCACCCCCCCATTTATGACCCCCCCATTACGCAGCGCCCAATCACGAATGTCAAACCCGCCACCGGGCATACATGGGGTGCTCCTTCCTCTAGCGGCAACTGCCCGCCCTCACTCTCGGCCCTCCCGTCGCCGTCTGCTGTATGGAAGGACGGGCAGAGCGGGGGAGGAGGACGAGTAACTGGTTGACTGGTGTAGCGGGTGATGGCAATGATGTGCGCTGATGGGGCGGAGCACACGCAAAACGTGTCGCACAGTACAATGCGAAACGCCAACCTTGAGGCGTGAAGATGTTTGACAAAAACGACATATCCCGATTTCGCGATAAATCCGTGAAGTTCATGGGTCCGAAGCACTACTTGTACTGCGCGCCCAGCATCTCAATGTCATGGCTTTGTGCTGCCCTACGTACTCACGTCTTCAATCGATACGTGCCTGATGGACTTATAAGATGAATGCATGAACCGCGTGTCCGTAAGCACATGAGCAATGACACGGAACATCATACTCAGCATCATCATGATAATCAGCATAAGAACAATAATGTGACGAATAAAATAAAAATGGTAGGAGAAAGACAACGAAGAAATGAAGAGGGAAGGGAGGGACAAGACAACGACTCCTCCTCTCGACCTTCCACCTGATCCTCCTACTCCACTCAGGTTCCTCCGTCCTTCTAATCCTTCCTGCTTTCCCCTCCTTCTCGTCCTCCAACTCTCGATCATTATTCTCTCGATCTTGCTCCCCCTCCTCGTCCCCCATCCTGCCCCCTTCTCTTGATCCCTCTCCTCCTCCCTCTCCTTCTCCTGCAACTCTCGTCCGTCCCTGAGAGGGAATCGGGGAGAAAGGGCATCGATGCTGATCGGTGGGGCCAAGGAAGAGGAGGAATCGCAGCATCTTCGGGAGCGGGACCAATGACCAAGATCGGGGAGGAGGACGAGGAACACGAGTAGGCTGTCCCACGCCATGGTTCGAACAAAAACGGTCCTCTCATCCGGGACCGCCACGAAGACCGCGAGCGAGAATCTCCCGACAACGGCGACCAACGGCGACGCTACCTTACCTTCAGCCTTCCGCAGAGCACAGCTATGCCCAGCATCGACACCACACCAGAGCCGACTGTAGAACATGAGTGCCTTTGGCCGCGATTTCGGGGGAGAAGGCCGCGGAGGATCGGTCGAGGACGAGGAGGGACTGCAGACCGATGGGGGCCACGGGAGGAGGAGGAGGAGGAGGAGGAGGAGAAGGAGGAGGAGGAGGAAGAGGGGGAGGAGGAGGAGGAGGAGGAGGAGGAGGAGGAGGAGGAGGAGGAGGAGGCGGAGGAGGAGGAGATTTCGGTAGAGGGCCAAGGAGAGACATGCAAGGCCTGACCGATCGAGGCCACAGGCGTGTTGGTGGAGGCCAGGGCAGCAGCAGCACAGGGGCACCGGAGGGAAGCGCCAGGCGCGGTGATCGGGCGCGTAGGCTTATGTCGGGCGTGTCCCCTACAGGGGGATTTTCGACGAAAAATAAGCAATACTAAACAAATGCTCCCAAATGGTTAAACAATATGCAAAAAATCGTGCCCCAACTATTTTTTGACTATTTTGGAATATCCCTCCTGTAGAGGGACGGGCCCGACTTAAGCGTAGGCGCCAAATCCATGGATCGGGGCATGAGGCCCGAACCACGGCGCCTATGCTGCCCGATTCGGCGACGGAGCGCGTCGATCTTTCATGAGCCCGTCCTGTTTGCTATTCGGGATGACGCCCGTGACTTGCCTGGCCCCCCCCTCCCCGCCCCCCCACGGGTCACGTCACGATTCGCGCCGGAGCGGTGATAATTAGCCATTCCGAAACATTCCCATACGGCGCCTGCGCACATTGTAGCGCGATTGGCCCTCTTCCCCCCTTCCTCGCCTCCTCGCCCGCCAAGTCGCACCCGTTATCGCCAGGGGGCAAATGCATTTTCATAACAAAAGAGTTTTGAGTCAATGAAACAATGAGATTATTCAAAAACGCATGTATGTTGAGTGAATCCCCCACCAAAGCAGTTGTTGAACTCATTCAAACAGCCATTCTCTGTGGAGGCGCGGCACGCCGCCAATCCACCCGCCCTGACTCGCGGTTGCACGCGTCCGAAGCGGAGACCGAGGCGGCGGAACGCGGGAAGCTCCGAGGGGGGTCGGCGAGGAGTGCCCGATCGGGGCGACGGGATGTACACACCCATCCACTGCTCAGGCCCGGCCCGTCCTCGGCCACAGGAACGGTGTATACGCCCTCCTGGCTTGGCCAGGAATGCATCTACACCAGTCCTGGGCCCAGGATTGGTCAGGCCTGGGGCAGCGAAGATATGCATAGATCTCGTTGCCCTACGGGGGGGAGGGGCCACACGTCCGCTGTCATGCTATCTCAGTGCGGGGTCCTTGGACGTCCCGACCCTTTTCACACCGGGCTGGGCGCGGGGGTTTGCTAATGCAAGGTGGGTTATCGGTGGATGCTGAGGTGGATTATATCTGGCCAAATCTTGCTCATAAGTGGGGTACAAAAGCACCGAATGGCCTAGGGGGTTTGACAACTCCGTCAAGTGGGCGGAACCCACTTAGCCCGGATCGTTGAACATCCTAGGCCAGTCGGGGCATGTGTATGGACAAACGCGTTGAACTACTCGCAATTCCTCTGCGGGGCAGTTACGATCCATTACATCGGGGAAAACATCTGATTTTTTGGACGTTTGCGAGTAGGCGCTCTACGAGTAGCGGAACGCGCTCGGTTACTGCAACCCACTTATTAGCTAGGCTAGGCCCCACCTTGACATCCATGGATCACTCCCCCTATATCCCCCGAGCAGCCCCCGCGCCCATCCCAGCATTGGAGATCATTTTTTTATTCCGGCCGGTAACGCTCGTTACCCGGGGGGGGGGGGGGTCGTGCCCCCCGGGTAACGGTAACGCTTGGGCTGGGCGGGGTATGGCGAAGCAGGGGCGCTCTGCGATCGCCATAGTATGCGCGCGAGCAGCACTCTATGCCTGAGAGCACCACAGTGGCTTGCGATTCGAGTACAAGCGCAAAGCCCGCCGCGTGGTCCCGGCACCACGCCCGCGCCCGCGCGCGCGACGACGATGATCGACGAGCGACGAGCGACGAGGTCGACGACGACGACGACGTTTGCCGCCTGTTTCGGCCTCCGGAGGCCGTTTTCGGGCGCCGTCGACGACGACGACGACGACGACGACGACGACGACGACGACGACGACGACGACGACGATTCGAGTACAAGCGCAAAGCCCGCAAGCACCAGCATCGCGCATGCGAGCGCCGCAATGGCCTGCGAGCGCCCACAGTGCGCCTGCGACCACCACACCACAGTGCGCATGCCTTCGGGCACCAGCATGCTGGAGGGGAAGACCGAGACCCCCCCCGCGTACGAGCGTTACCGTTACGGAGGGGGGGGGGGGGGAGAGGCCCGGGTAACGAGCGTTACCCCCCCAGAGGATAAAAAAACAATCTCTTGCTGGCTTCTCGTCTCGAGCGGTTGTCTGACGGTCCCTGGGGCCCAACGACGGCCCCCAGAGGCCGCAAACGACCAAACTCATCCGGCGTGATTTCTTTCCACGGCGCGAGCATACAGTAGGAGCTCGACCACAAGAAACCTTAGGCAAGAAACCCAACCCTGAGACCTCAGGGCGTCTTTTGTCTTCTGGTGTGGGAGCGTCACGCGTTCCGTAGCGAAACCATCGAAACCCAAGAAAGCAGGACGTCTCTTGGCATGGGGTTCCACTGTGTGGCGGGTTCCGAACACCCTGCAGGCCCCCCCCCCAACAGGTGAGCCTATCTTGGGGGACGCGATGTCCACCCAAGCCGCGAGAAGGCGGCCCTGGAAGGCGAGGCCCTTCCTGGAGCGCCGCATGCCCTGGGGGGGGCTGCCCCCGTCCTTCGCCACCGCGAAGAGCGCGGGGATGACCGCTCTCGGCGCGAAATCGATGGGCCTCAGGTCCTGGCCCGGGGCCCGGCGGGGCGAGCGGCGCGGGCGCTGCCAGGTCCTCCTCGGCATTGTCCTCCTCCTCGCCCTCCTCCGCTTCCTCCACTTTCTCCTCCCGCTGCTCACCCGCCGCACCCTGCCGCTGCTTCGCCTCCTGCCTAGCTCCTTCCCCTCCTCCTGTCCTCCTCCTCCTCCTCCTCCTCCTCCTCCTCCTCCTCCTCCTTCCCCTCCTCCCCCTCCTCCCTCCTCTTCCAGTCCTCCTCCTCCGCCTCATCCTCCTCCTCCTACTACCCCTCCGCCCTCCTACCGCTCCTCCCCCTCGTGCTTCTCCTTCGCCTTACCCTCATTCCTCCTCTACTCCAGCATTTCCTTAGCTCGGCGATGGACAAACCTCCCTTTAGCAAACCTCCCCTTAGTGAACACGGCCTGGGACCGAAACCGACGGACCTGGACCCGCAGAAATCACGGCCGCGACGCCCTCTCGCGAACCGGAAACGGCCAATTCCTGCATCGACGTGTCAGGGTAGGAGGTCTGTCCACCCACGACCCTTCCCCCCTCCTCCTCCTCCTCCTCCTCCTCCTCCTCCTCCTCCTCCTCCTCCTCCTCCTCCTCGTCCTCCTTCTCGCCTCCGCGCCTCCCCTGCCACGAGGGGAAGGAGGGACGCGGGCCGCAGGCCCCGAGGCCCGAGGACACCCTCCCCCACCCCGACGGGATCCGCTCCTCATCCGGGGGCGCTTGCTGACGACCTCCGAGGACTCCTTCAAGACCCGAGGACGGCGAGGCTCATGTTGCTCCCATCGTACTTAAGGACCGTATCCCAAAAATAATTGCGAGCACCCGGAAAAGTGTCGAAAGAGTGTCGAAACAGTGTCGGACGAGTCTCCCAGGGCCCGACATGTGAAAACCCTCGAGTTTCGGTACTTTTTGTTGGTGCTCGAAATTATTTCTGGTAGTCAAGGCTAAAGTAGGTTGGAACATCGTAAGGCGAGGCGCCTCCAGGACCCTCGCCGTCGCTCGGACGTCCACTCCCCGTGCACTGCTTGGCTCCGCGCGTGCTCTCCCTGCAGGCGCATCCAACGGGTGCTCCCCGATGGACCTTGGCGGACAGCAGTGCACACGCCCGAGCGATGCTAGGAGACCACGGCGAGCCTCGGCCACGGACGGGCCCACCGACCCGGATCGAGGGGGCGGCCCGCACACCAGGAGCCCCCTCCCGAACCCACAAGTGCTCCTTACCTCGAGGGCCTCGACTGCCGCCCCCCCCCTCCGCCCTGCTGCCGTGCCCGAGGCCGGACCCGCCCGCCTGGCGGGGAGGGGGGGGGGGGCGGCGGCAGCAGGAGAGGCAGCGGACGAGGGAAGCGGCCCGGCACGCGCCCCGCTCTCTCCATATTACCCCCTTCCCCCGCCACAGCGTCGGAGTGGCCGGGGAAGGCACCGATCTGGCGGGCGGAGGGTGGCAGGTCGTGCTATGCTCCCTCGCGCAGCTCTGTTCCAGGGCTCGGATCCCTCGATTCCTCGGCCATCTGGGCCTCCCCGACCCCGGGCCCCGCACACCGGCCCCGAGGAGCCCGAAGGGGCTCCGAGGCAGCACACGGCTGGCCCCGAAATGCTCCCACTCGTCACCCTCCCTGTATCGGGAGCGGCCAAGAGGGGGGTGCCCAAGAGGGGGGGTGCAAATCATGCCCGGCGGCATGTGCGCGGCCCAGGGGTCAGGGACGTAATGAAATAAGGAGAGGCGCCAGGAAATCTGGGGAGATATCATGGCCCCCGCCATGATATCCACCCCCCCTAGTCATCACCCTCCTCTTTGCCGCCCCCGACTGTACAAAGCCTGCTGCATGCGTGCCACTTGGTCTTGGTCGGGAATATTCTGACCCGGGTCAAGCCAGACACGGGCCAATCAGGCCTTGCAAAATCCTGCGAGATCCTGCGCCCAAACCCGGGTCAACGCGAAGAATCCTGCAAGCAACCCCGGGTCAATGCGACCCTGGCCCTACAGGATCCTGCAAGATCTGGCGCTCTGGCTGACCCCCGTTTGCATTGACCCCCGTCTCAAGGCTTCTTTCGTACCTGCGCAACCGACAAGGTCTGTCCATCCGTGGGAGGGGAAGGAAGGACGGGGCGGGCGGGCCAATAACCTGGGCTATCACCGGATCCCCCAAAAACAATCTCTGAGGGCAGACGCCTCCAATCCACCTCTCACTTTCGGCGAATGAGGGCTTGACGTCTTCCTGCGCTGTCGTAGCCTAACCCCCCAACGCCCGTCCCTCATGGCGGAGTAGGAGCAGCATCCGGGAGCGGGGGTGCACGGGGCAGGATGAATCTGCATCGAATCGAACAAACGGATCGTGTCGGAATGTGCGTCGGGCTGGGCTGCGTCGGCGCGGAATCGAGATCGAATCGGATCGGACGCGCCGGGATGCACAACCAGGCCCTCCAAGCATCGAGCCGCATCGAATCGCCCGAAGTTCGACATCGGATGGGGTTGGGCCAGCCAGAATCGACACGGAGTCGGACCGATCGGATCGAAATGGGCTCTGAGTGGGTGCTAACCCCCACCCCCTCCTAGAGTTGGGTCGGGCATGTCCCCCTACAGGCGGAAATTTGACAAAAAATGATAACTAGTCAAAATATGCTCCCAAATGGTCAAAAATACCCGAAAACTCGTCCCCAGACAATTTTTTGACTATTCCTTCTGTAGAGGGACAGGCCCGACTTAACCCTGGAGGCCTCTGGAGCTCTCAGGGGGCGTCCCGCGTGTCTCGTCGAAATCCGGGGAGGCCTCTGCAGGTCTCCACGGGAGGCCCCCGCACATCGGCGCCGAGCCCAGGGGGTAAGAAATAAGGGGCCTGCCGTCTCAGAAGTCGGCATGGCTTCTCAGAAGCCCTCGCGCCTCCTGGGAAGCTATCGAAGCCTTCTCCTAGGACATGGGCGACTTCTCAGAAGGCTGGAGGGCTTCTGAGAACCCTCGCCGACTTCTGAGAAGGCCTGCCCCCAATCGCACCCTCCCTGGGCTCGCCTTCGAAGAAAAACATTGGGGAGCGCCCGGAGGTGCCAACGGGGGAAAAAAACTGTCCCTTCCCAAGACTCCGATACCGCGGGTTCGTGTCGTGCCGACCCCAGCGTTGGTGACTGACACCAGCGTTGGATCGTTCAACATTCAACGATCTGCCGATTCCGAAACGTCAGATCCTTCAACATCGACCGATTTTGGGTCGCTGGCGGCGTCCAACGTTGAACGCTGGCGGCGGGGTCGCCGCCTGTCGACATGACGCGAACCGACGGTACCTACTCCGCCTCTCTCCCACCCCCCATCCCCACCTCGATGTCGACGTCGGCTCTGGCCTTGATCTCGGCCCGGATGCGCCTGAGCATCGCGCCGACCATCACCTCGGGCATCTTCAACTTCGTGCTCTGCGCCAGCTCCCGCGCCTGGGGCAACTCCTCCTCCTCCTCCTCCTCCTCCTCCTCCTCCTCCTCCTCCTCCTCCTCCTCCCCCTCTTCCGTAGCCATTTTGGCTCAAAATGTTGAGTTCCCCTGGGAGCAAAGTGGATACCGCCAGTCCGCGGGTAGTTCCGACGAGATCACACCCCTGTTGGGGACTCTTGTGCCGTTTTGGCCCACGTCTTCCTGGTGGCCTGGCTGCTGGCCTCCTCTCGTCAGGAGCAGTGGCGCCTGGGCCGCGAGACGGGGCGAAGGCCAGGTACTGCAAGCAACGCGAATACGATCACGGGCCAAAGATGGGCATGCCGTGTCTCACTTTCGGGTCCAAGACGGTGTGCCACTGCTGCGGCGGCGAGTGCTTCCTGGGGCAGGTCGGAGAAGCGGGAGCACGTTGGCGTCAGCCAGCCAGAAAGGTGCCTGCCGGTGGACGGCGTGGTACGGATGGCTGGCCAGAGAATGCCGCGAAGCACATGTCACATGGGTATGCAGGTATGCAGAATAAGTTGGCTCGCCCACGGGAAGCGCTCAAGGTTCTGCGTGCATCTACTACCACGGAAGGATGCCCTCTCGTTGCAGCTGCAGCGGTGGCAGCGGAGGGAGAGGATGATGGCGATGAGGCTCAGAAGAAGCACTTTGAGGTTCTGGAGGAGCAGCTACGAGGTCTCAAGTCCATGAAAAGCCCGACGGCCTACATCCCGGGCTGTATCGAGCACACTGAGGAGCAGAAACGCCAACTTGTCGATGCGATTAGGTCAAAGAAGCCGCTGGTTACGAAACTGTTCCTGCTGCAGAAGAAGCTCAAGTCCAAGCAGGAAGCCATCGCGCAGCAAGAGCTGGCGGTGGCGAAGGCGACCAAGGCGGTGGCCAAGGCAAAGGAGAAGCTAGAGGAGGAGCGGAAACGAGGCGTGGCGCCACGAGCTGAAGCTACGCAGCTGGAGCAGGAAGGTTCGGGAGATCAATGACGTGGTCCCCAAGCCCCCCTGTCTGTGAAGAGCTTTGGGTTTCTAATGGTTTCAATGGGCCCCTGGAGGTAGGCTGTCTTGGGCATGGCACCTTACAGGACCCCATCGTTTTCTGCGGGGATGCCTCTGGAGTGCCTGATGCTCGGGATCCTCGTCTCCGTCGTGTCGGCGTCGCCATCGTGGTCATCAACCGAATTTAAATGTTTATTTGTGATATGTCAGTTTCTGGTCCGCTCCCTGGATGCCCTCAAACTGTACCCTGTGGGGAGCTTTTGGCACTGGAGGCGGCGATCCGCTTCACTTCTGGCAATGTAACTTTCGTTTCAGACAACGAAGTGGTGGTTTGAGGCTGGCGGCATCATCTTTGGGGACACCTGCAAGGTCACCTTGCAGATCGTTGGAGGATAATTGGTCTGCTGATTCAGTCTCGTCTCTATGAGCACATTGCAATGCTCCAGACTCCCACCTTACCCCTCAGGCCATCGTTACCCGCAACAACCCCATATTGATTATTTCGAATTTGAATTCGAACGTGTATGCTGACCTGCTCGCTGGAGAGGCGGCCTCGCTCGTCAGACTTTCAGAGAACTGCCGGTTTCAGCTGAATCCTCTTGAACAGAAGGCGGAAGCGTTTGATGAGGGCTACCCTGAAGCCTATCAATGCAAATCTGGCTTTGAGGAGGGCTGAGAAAGCGAGGTCCGCTGCCGATGCCGCCGCCGTTCCTTCCCCCTCCTGCCCCGCTTCTTCCCGCCTCCCGTCCTGCCATCGAAGCCCTAGTCCTTCCCCATCCTAGTCACGCACGGTGTTTCAATGTCCTGTCGAGAGTTTGGACTTGAAGGGCGTGCGGCTTCTCCCAAGCAGAACGGCTCGGTGGCCTCGCGTCCGAATGCGACCCCCAGCGAATTGCTAAGAAGCGGAGGGACTACCTTCCGAGACTCGAGAGGGAACTTCCCCCAACATTGTAGGTGATCGATATTGCTTAGCAGTGGCTCCTCCTCCTCCTCCTCCTCCTCCTCCTCCTCCCCTCCATCGCCCCCTCCTCCAACCTCTATCCTCACATAGCCTCAGCCTCAATCGTCCTCATCCACTCCGCCCGGCTCATTATCATCATCAGCATCAGCATCAGCATCATCATCATCATCATCATCATCATCATCAGCATCATCATCATCATCATCATCACCATCACCATCACCATCACCATCACCATCATCACCATCATCACCATCACCATCACCATCACCATCACCATCACCATCACCATCATCATCATCATCATCATCATCATCATCATCATCATCATCATCATCATCATCATCATTATCATCATCGTCGTCGTCGTCGTCGTCGTCGTCGTCGTTATCATCATCACCATCATCAGCATCAGCATCACCATCACCATTACCATCACCATCACCATCACCATCATCATCATCATCAGCATCAGCAGCAGCAGCATCAGCATCATCATCATCCTCATCCTCATCCTCATCATCCTCATCATCATCATCCTCGGCCGCTTCTCATCTTCCCTCGTCCGTCTTCCTTCTCTCTTCTCCATCATCCAACTTCTCCCTGCTCCCGCATCCTGAATCCTACAAATTATGTGGGTCCTCCCTACCAAATCACCCCCTCTGTCATTCCTAGTCTGCCTCGGTCTCTTCCCGCCTCGACACTTTCCGGTCCTTGAGCCTCCCTCCTCCCCGTCCTCCTCCTTCCCCCCCTCTCTCGCTCCCCCTCCTCCTCCTCCTCCTCCTCCTCCTCCTCCTCCTCCTCCTGCTCCTGCTCCTCCTCCTCCCCCCCTCCTCCCCCTCCTCCGCCCCCCCCTCAATCATTGTTCCCTATTAAGATACACCCCCTCCCCCAGGCGACTGGGAGCCAACCAAGAACAATGCGGGCCCTCCCCCGCCATCCCTTGTACAAATCCATACAAACACACACTCTGCCTCCAGATTCGGAGCCTGCGCAGCAAACGCGATGCGGCCTCCCCCCACCATCCCTGCAACAAACCAATACAGAGTACACTTGGCGGCTGCGGCGGCTGCGGCTGGGGCAGCGGCTGGGGCGGCTGCTGCGGCGGCTGCGGCGGTGGCGGCGGCGGTGGCGCCGGCGGCGGCGGCGGGGGCGGCGGCGGCGGCAGCGGTGGCGGCAGCGGCTGCGGCGGCAGCGGCTGCGGCGGCGGCGATTCGGCAGCGGGGGCGACGCGGCGGCGGCGGCGGCGGCGGGCGCGCGGCGCGGCGGCGGCGACGGCGGCGGCGGGCGGCGCGGCGGCGGCGGCGGCGGCGGACAACGGCGGCGGCGGCGCGGCGGCGGCGGTGGCGGCAGCGGAGGCGGCGGCGGCGGCGGCGGATTCGCCCCCAGTAGCTGCCCATCCAAAGACGACTGCTGAATATGCTGCGGCTCGGGCCAGGCTCGGGTGCTACGTATGTGTTGGGAGGGCGTGTGGGAGTGAGCGAGACGGCTTGCGGGCGGGGAGGGAGTCTTGTCTCTCCCCCCTGTCTCTCCCCTTCCCCTCCCCTCCCCCTATCGTGCTACCTCTCGTCCTGTCCACCCTCCCTTCTCCTCCTTTCCTTCTCCCCGTCTCCTCCCCTCTCCGTTCCCCCCTCCGCAGTTATACAATATGAACACAACTCTTCAATCTCCCCCTGAGGCTGCATAGTACGGGGGCGTTCCCCATTTTCGCCTTTCCCGCACTGGATTCCACTCATTGTTTTGCACGTTGTTCCATGCGCGTTTTTCAATCAGATCGATCGCGATTCTAAAAACATGTTTCCCGTCCAGCGTTGGCCACATTTCCAGGATCGGCGCTTTGCTCCCGTCGTTCAGATTTGCGCCACATTTGTGGATCCAATTCGTTCCTCGTCGTCGCCGTCCACCGTCCTTTTCCTGCCTCCGCCTTGCCCTGCTCCTCCTGCTCCTCCGACTCCTGCTGCTGCTGCCGTCCAACGCTTCGGGAAGGGCGGGATTCCCGACCGCCCCTGGCTTGTTTCTACCCCCAAGCCTCGCTACGCGTGTCCCCCCCTCACCCCGCGATGCCCCTGAGCTTCGACGACTGGTGGCGTCGGGTCACAACTCGGGCCTCCAGTGAAGGCACGCGGGAAGACCGCCAATCACCGACGACAACGTCCGAAAACCTCGAACCTCCACCCCCCCCCCTCCCCAAAGCTCAGACGCCGTGATTTCTTCAGTGTGGACCTCCGGAGATCTGGATCGATTCCTGTTTTTTCTTCTAGAGTATCTTGTTGACGGTCCTGGTACTCGGTGAGAGGCCGACACTGACCGAAAACCGCCCGCAATTTTTCCCGGCGCGGCGGGGGAACGCTCTCTGCGAGGCGCAGCCGCTGGAAGACACCCCGAGGCTGGAAGACCGTCGAGAACCGACGGAGACGTCCGCCAACTTCGATCCTCGGCGTGGGCTTTTGGGCTACAGCTCGGGTCTCCGGCGGCCGCTCGGGACGGCATCCCCGGAAGGCCCCCGTCGAAGCGTAGCTGGTGGAAACCATCCCAGATCTCGGAAACTCCTCGGACAACTGATCGAAAACTGCGTAGACATTCGAAACAGATCCTCCCCTCGCGTTGCCCCCGCCCCCCGCGCCACGTCGGGCAGGCTGCAGAACGGCGAGTCCAGCACGCACGCCGCCAGCCCGCGGTCCTCGGCGGCCCGAAGCACGGACGTGGCGGCGCCCATTGACCTGCCCCACAGCGCGATGGGCCCCACGCCCGCGGAGCGCCGGAGGTGGTCCAGGACCACCTTGCGGGGGATAGGCTCCCTCCTTCTCCCCGTCCTCCTCCTCCCCGTCCTCCTCCTCCTCCTCCTCCTCCTCCTCCTCCTCCTCCTCCTCCTCCTCCTCCTCCCTCCTCCTCCTCCTCCCTCTTCTCCTCTATCCTCCTCCTCCTCCTCCTCCTCCTCCTCCTCCTCCTCCTCCCTCTCCTCCTCCTCCTCCTCCTCCTCCTCCTCCTCCTCCCTCTTCTCCTCTATCCTCTGCTCCTCCTCCTCCTCCTCCTCCTCCTCCTCCTCGTCCTCGTCCTCGTCCTCGTCGTCGTCCTCCTCCTCCTCCTGCTTGCTCATCTTCTCCTCCTCTTCTTCTACTCTTCTTCTCTTCTCCTGTTCTCCTGCTCCTCCTCTTCTTGTCCTCGACTCGTCCTCCATTTCCCACTCCACCCCTCCCCTCGGCAGGTGGTACAGGACTACCTGGCGGGGGAGGGGTGCAACGTCGCCGTCGTGGTCGTGGCGGTCGCGGCTGCGGTCGTGGTGGTAGTGGTCGTCGTCGGCGTCGCCCTAGGCTCGGGGGGGGAGAAACACCGAGGTTCGAGGCTTTCACGCGTTTTCGTCGGCTCCCCGCGGCTTTCTAGCGTCGGGGTGCTGCTCTTCTCTTCAAACGCTGCGTCTCGCCGAGAGCGTTTCGGCATGCCCAAATCGTCCCGAACGGCCGCCGGAGGCCCCAGGTATGGCCCGAAAGCCACCTGGGGCGCCGTGTGGTCGCCGTCGCCGACGTCGGCTGGAGACGAGGGGGAGGAGGCGGATCAGGAGGTAGGGGAGGGGGAAGAGGGGAGGACGAACGGTGGGAGAGGTTCCTGTCCGAGCCCCCTCCCCGATTCCTCTTCCGCCTGCTCGTCTTCCTCCTCCGCCTCCGACTCAGGAGCGGCGGTACCGGCGGGAGTCAGATGCAACATGGGGGGGGGCGCCCCGTTGCCGCTGTTCGCAGTACGAGGCAAGGAGAGGATGTCTTGAAGGATCGCGAGTACCGCGCGCCCTGGAGATGACGACCCGCATGCCCATGACAGGCGACGTGCAGGATCAACATGCGGACGGTCGACGAGTCACGGTGGGGCCCACAGTGGGAAACTGCAATGTGGTAGACGGGGCTCACTCGCCAGCCCACCGATATGGATACGTACATGGAGGCCGCCCAATGCATCGGGTCAGTGCCCTATGTGATCGCCCACTTTTCAAGTAATGGGGGGAATCTACTAAAGCACTGACCCACCCACCTCTATGCAAGGAATGGGGCTACATTCGAACTTGAGTAGAGCGATTGTCGGCACCGATGGGCATTCAGATGTGTTCCTTGGTGGCTCTGGATTGCACGGCGCGTTGTGGAGTTCGAGAAAACGTACTTCAAGTATACCACCCTCTGAGGTTTCGAGCGCACTTGGCCCGCAAGAGGGTCCTCGAAGAGTCCGAAGAACATATTCCGCCTCCCTCCTCCTCCTTCTCCTCCTCTTCCTCCTCCTCCTCCGGATCCGTAGCCATTTTGGCTCAAGCCCCTCTGCTTTCGAGAAGTTGAGAGAATTGCGGGCACGTACTTCAGAGAGGCGCCGTGTTCGTGAGCCATTTTTGCTTGGCCCACCCCCCGCGCGGTGGATGGGATCCGCACCTCCCTCACTGGGAGTGCGGAAAATGCGGAGCAGCCGACAACTGGGCGAGTTGCCTCAGATGCCGCGGCTGCGGGAATGGCGCTCCCCAGAAGGTACAGCAGGCAGGCCAGCAGGCAGCCAAGTTGCGCCAGAAGGGGGGAGGGAAGACTGGCGGCGGCAAAGGGTCTGGACGCCCAGTTTCTTCTCAGGACCAGGGGGAGATCACCGCCGCCATGCAGAAGAAGCTCGACATGCTGCTCGAGAAGGAGGAGAAGTCCGCCACGCCGCCCGCAACGGGGCAGCAGCAGCACTCAGCAGGAGGATCCAGCACGCTCTCGTACAAAGATGTGCTGGTTTTCATCAAGAACAAGAAATGTAATGAAACGGTCTTGCAGTCGACCACGAAGTGCCAGCAGCGTGAGCAGGCGGAGCACCCGCCCTCGGTAGTCACTGCAAGATGGAAAGTTGAAAACCTACGGAATAAGTCTGAGAAGCAGGACCTCCAGCTCCAGAAGACCAAGGAGCGCCGCGAGCAGCTCCTCAAGGAGGCCGAGCTCCTCGCGGCCATCCAAGACACCGAGAAAGACCCTGCAGATGCAGGGGCCCTGTATGTGCGCGTGCATGACGTCGACATCAACGACGTGGTCAAGGTCACGACTGCCGCGTTGGATCCCAGCCTGCACACGAACGCTGAGGCCAAGGCCGCCATGGAGGAGGTGTTGGCGAAGCTCCAGCAGACTGCCCTCGACCTCAAGGGCGCAGCGGAGAAGTCGCAGGAGCCCTGCTGGCTGGCGGTGGCAGTGCTGGTGTTCGTGGCGGCGCTGGGACAGCTGGCGGCAGTGCGCCTGCCGACATCCCTGCAGGAGAAGACGACGAGGACATTGACATGGGCGTCCCCGGTGTGGACAACTTCGAGAAGCACGTGTACGAGTGCAAGGCCGCGGCCGAGGAGCTCCGCCACGCCAGCCCAGAGGCGCAGGCGGCCAAGCGCAAGCTGGCGCAGGCGGCAGCTGCGCTGGGGATCAAGAGGAAGCAAGACCGTTGATGTCGGCACGGCGAACGAGGCGCTGCGCCGCTTCTGGGACCACAACGTCGTGGACGTGGAGCGGGGGCAGCCCGGGCTCGGGTTCGAGGTCCCAGGCCTGCTGCCCAGGCCTCGGCAGGCGCCCTCTGGCACGCTGGGCTCGCCCACGCTGCGCCGCTTGGCGGCTCGAGCGTCGAGCCCAAGCATGCAGGATAAGGGGGGCGTAGGTGCTGCGGGTCGATCCGCGCGGGAGATCGGCCTAACTTCGCGCGAACCGTTGATCCCAAAGCGGCTCTCGCCAAAGCCCCGCGCCGACACAGAGCAGGAGGTCACTGGCGCTAGAACGCATGTCCCAGCCCCCAGGTGCACCCCCAGGGTAAACAGCGCGAGGGGTTGACCTTCGTCGCCAAGTTTCCTGCTGGAGCCTGCCCCCAGGTGCACCCAAGGGGTAAACATCGAGTGGGGCAGGCCCGCCTCGACATGGGAAGCAGAGGCTGATGCGGCCGCTGCTGACGTGCCTGCTGGTGAGTCATCTGTGGTGCCCGCGGGCCCTCCGAGCGCCGCGGGCCCTCGGGCTGCCGCCGGTTCCGCCGCGGGCCTTCGGGCGGCGATCGGCTGGGAGAGCGCGCCGCCGATGGCGGGGCAGCGTGGGCGGTGCCGCAGACGACTCGAGGGGCGGCGCGCTGGCCTGGGCGGGGTACGGGGCAGCTCTGGGAGCACCCGAGTACCCCGCCCCCAAGCCGGGGGCAACCGCGCGACCGCCCCATGAAAGGTGGACCAGCTTGGCGGCGCGGGCGCGGCGCCGCGGCAGCTGCAGGCAGGCGGCGCTGGAGGAGGCGGGCAGGGCGGGTGGCGGCAGGGCGCCGGACTCTGTCGAGTGGCGCCCACTCGGAGTGGAGCGGCCAGTTCAGCATCCGCTGGGGGAGGGGAGGCAGGATTCAGCCCTGCAAAGTCACGCCGCCCCCCCCCCCCCCCCCGCGCCGTCGCCAGCCTCAACGACGGCAAGGGCGGCCACTGCGCCCTCGAGCTCGGCAGGGTCGGCGGAGGCATGCAGCGCGAGACGTCCAAGGCGGCCCTCTTCGTCGATTGCCACGGGTGGATCGGCGAGGCCGCCGTCGTCGCTTGAGCCGTGGGCGTCGACGAGGCTCAGAGCTCCAATGTCGCCGTCGCCATCTTCGACGCCGCGGGCGTTGCGCAACAGCGTCTCGCTCGAGGAGGCAGCCAAGGCGGGCGACCACGTCGAGCTCATCGAGGCAGCGGTCGCCACGCACGCCTGCGTGGTCAAGGTCGAGGGCCCGCCCCCGGAAGCCTCCCTGCCCAGGGCCAGTCGAGGGGGGAAAAGGCCGCGAACTTGACCTGCCCGGGCATGAACGCCAACACCTGGAGAACAGCCGAGACTGTATTGGCACGGTGCATGGGCGAGGCCCTCACTGGTGGCGGCTTGGCGAAGCGGCCAGATGCAGGCGTGGTCCAGGAGACGCGCACAAGGACAACTTCCAACGCTTGCACGGCATCTGCTTGGGGGGAAAGGAATGGCTGGCAGCCATCTCATAGGCTGGCGGCAAGCACGGGAACTTGTAGCTTTGAGAGCCCAGGTGGCGTGGCCATCGGGGTCCAATGCAGCCTGGCCCCCGCGCCCTAAGCAGTGAAGCGTCTCGACCTGCCAGCCAACAGGGCGAGCATGCGCGTTGTCGATGTCGGGTTCCCGCAGGGCCTCCTGGTGGTCGCGGTGCACTTTACCGCGGGTATAGGGCTGTCGAGGGAGAAAGTGGCGCTCTTGGAGGCCACGGGCGAGTTCCTGCTCAGCCAACCGCTGCCCCTGGATCGCTCAGGGCGACTTCAACTTTTAGCCGTTAGTGTTGATGGCGTCTGGGTGGTTGCAGACTGTCAGGGGTGAGATCGTGGCCCCCTCCCTTGGGGGCTACTTGCTATGGGGCCCGTGGGGAACCCGAAGGCCGTGAAGTGGGCGAAGGCTTGGCGGGGGCCGAGGTTTTGGACCCTGCTGGACTTTCTGGATCGGGACGTGTCTTGGACTACGTCCTCCTGGCTGAATGTTTGGCGTCTCGGGTCAAGGGCCTCAAGGTGATCTCGGAAGCCCCGCTTGGCTCACATAGCCCTGTCTACATAGGGCTGGAGGGTCTCTCCCACCTCGCTGTCATCCATCGCCAGGTTAAGTTGCGCCCGTGCGAGCATGGCTTCAATGGTCCGCATCCCGAACCAAAGGGCGTAGACTGGCATTGGACTGAAGGCGTGTCTGGGGCTGATGAAGTTACTGTGGAGCAAATGTGCAAGCAGTGGTCTGGGGCTGCCGAGGACAGCCTGGTCCAGATCCACGGGTTGCAGGGAATGGAAGCCCAGGACTACGCTGGCAAGGCTCGAGGACCCAGGACGCAGAAAGTCCCTCTGGGAACGCTCTGGGGTAAGGACCAAAGGTGTATATTTTCCAGCTCAACCACGACCTGGATTGCCTTTCAGACCCTCGTCACCAGGTGCAGGCAGTCCGCTTCAGGGGCATTCGGCCATCGAGGTCGATCTTTTGTTGCTCGAGTGGAGGGGTGAGCTGATGCGCGTGACTGAAGCCCTGAACTTCAGTGACAACGGCCTCACTAAGCCTGACATAGTGCTCCTCGCCTTACATGTCGTGGAAGGGAAGGTCGAAGAGGAGGCGGAAGCGTTGTCCAAATTGAGTCTGGAGGTGGTCCGGAAGAGAAGGCAGGATACTCAGTCCAGCGTGAAGGAGTGGAACTCGTGGGCGGTGGAGCCGAGTCAAGGTGGAGGGAAGGCGGCCCACGAATTCTCGAAACGTTCGTTGGCGAGTCCCACGTCGTCGCTAGATGCGGCAGGACAGCCAGTCTGTAGGCGGGAGGCGTTGGGCTACCTGCTGGATGTCTGGACGCCGCTCTGGCACGTAGTGGGCCGAGGGGCCCAGCGCCCAGCGACTTGGTCTGTGCCTCGAGAAGAGGCAGCCTTGCCAGCTATATCGCCCGAGCCTCTGATGAAGGTATGCAGGAGGTATCGCAGGAAGTGCGGATTGGGGTGGGGAGGGTTTCATCCTCGGTGGGTACTTGACCTTGGCGATGAGTACGCTACACGTTCGGCCGACATTTCCCGCATATTTGAAGAGGCTCCACCGGATTTTTCTCTTCATGACGAATGCCGATTTTATTGGCAAGGTCGACGGAGGCGTGCGTCCCATCGGCTTGCTGGCCTTTTTCACCAAGATTTGGCCCAGGGTGAGCCAGTCCATGTTCAAGCGTTGGGAGCATGATCGCATGGAGAACGTGTTCTGGGGGGTCAGCAAGACCACAGCGCGTGAGCGACCTGGGTGGGTCCATAACCTCCTTGGGAGCTTTTCGGAAGGAGTCGGTTTCGAGTCGGCCTCCGCCCTGTTGGACCGTCCCATATTTTACGAGCACATAGGTCACGAGCACCTGTATGAGGCGGCGCTGCGACTCAACTTTCCGATTGGGTTGTTGCGCTGCCTGTGCACGATATGTGCATGCCCCCCGCACGCTATTGCACGGAGGAGCGGTGTCA